CGTATGTAGCTCCAGCTAGGGCGCTGGCCACCACTCGGCCGCTCGTTTGTGTTGGCGCCCTTTGCAGCCTCCGAATCAGCTCAGCATCGACTTGTCAATGCGGGACGAGACATGGAGTGGGAGTGGGGTGTGCCAGTCGAGTCTTTGTGATGATGATGATGGAGATCACGAATGCAAACGACCGGCTCTAGCCCATGATCATCGCCATCCACGGCCGCACTCGCGTGAGGAATCGTGAATCGAATGCTTTCCGAAAGCTTGCACTCACGATTCACGATTGGCCGCTACCCGCGGATCTCCGCGGACATGGCAGGGAGGCACGCAACGCTGCAACACTGTGACTCACACTTTACGCGTTGCTGCGCGTCTTTGTTGCCGCGCGTGTGAGCAGCGCGAGGAACGCGTCTCGCCGAGCTTAGGGTGTGGTGTTGCATACAATCACGAATCGTGTGCGATGATGCACACACAGCGTAGCATGCATCCATCCATCCACACATGCATCAATCCCTCCTTCACCACATCCTTTGCCAGCAATCGTGAATCGTGAATGCGACGCACGACTACGCTCGACGTCCAATCCATCAAGCTAGCAATCGAAAAAGCCGTCCATCCCACGCGCACCATCTGGACTTCTACTGCCCTTCTCGTGTCGCATCTCCGTCTCTACGCACACGATGGACCAGGACGATCCTGCGTTGAACTTCTTCCCGGATGGAGAGGTGGATCTGTATGGCGCTCTGGGGCTCGATTCATCAGCTGGCTCAGAGGCGATCAAAAAAGCTTACAAAAGGTCAGTTCGGCTCACGGCAATCGGAGTGGGGTTACAGGTTGTCATGAGGACCAGGCTGTGCTTGTATGCGGTGGATGGCGAGGGGGGAGACCAAAGCGGCGCGGAAAGTTGCTTCCCTTTACATTGTGCCTCTCCCAAGCTGACACACGAGCATACACTGGTCACACCCACGCCAATGCCAACGCTCTCCACAGACTAGCGTTGCTACATCATCCCGACAAGTCCAAAGACGCCTCTTCCCACGCCCGTTTTCAACAGATCGGGTTCGCCTATGCCGTCCTCTCCGACTCTTCTCGCAAGAAACGGTACGATGCGACGGGAAAGACGGATGAGCTGAGATTCGGATTGGGTGAGGATGGGGAAGGAATGGACTGGGATGAGTACTTTACCACGCTTTGGGATGGAGAGGTGACGGGAGACAAGCTGAGAGAGTTCAAGGAAGGATATCAGGGTGAGTCGACGATCGCCTCGAATGCATGCGTCGCAGATGTTCTCAGATGGACCCTGATAATAGCCCATCTTGGTACGCCGAAGGCTCCGAGGAGGAGAAGCAAGACATTTTGGAAGCGTACAGATCAAAAAAAGGCGATCTGCAAGATATCCTCAACGAGGTGCCTTGTCTCGAAATCCTAGCAGACGAGCAGCGCGTCGTAGATCTCATCAACAGCAGCATTCAATCTGGCGAACTAGACTCGACCAAAGCGTGGCAAAGATGGACATCCAACGACAAGGGACGCAAGAGGATGAGGGAGAATGCGAAAAGGGAAGCGGGAGAAGCTGAACAGGCGGCTAGGGAGTTGGGGGTGTGGGATGAATTGTTTGGGAATGGCAAGAGGGGAGAGAGGAGAAAGGGAAGAGGAAATAAAGGGGAGGCGAAAGGGGATGGGAAAGGACATGAAGACGATGACGAGGAGGAAGAAGATGAGGATGAGAATGGTGTGGACAACTCCAAGAAGCGCAAGAGACCGAATGGAGCGTCTGCATCTGCAAAGACGAAGAAGCAAAAGGGACGCAAGGGCAAAGGTGCGAAAGAAGAAGAGGAGGAGCAAGACGACGAAAGGGACACGTCGAGTCTAGAAGCGCTCTTTGCAGCTCGACAGAAACAGCGCTCGGCAGGCTTCGACGATGTGATTTCGCGCATCGAAGCTCGCGCAAGCGGGAGCAAGACGGGTGCGTCCGGCTCAAAAAGGAGCGTCAAGCACGATGCATCTGCCGCATCCAAGAAGAAATCAGTGGATGCAAAGGGCAGACGAGGAACGCAAAGCTTGCCGGATGATCCGCTCGACGATGCAGAGTTTGAACGCTTGCAGGCTGCATTGTTCACAGACAAGGACAAGCAAAAGAGGGGCAGCACAAAGAAGACCAACTCCAAGTGACCTCTTCAACTGGCCTGCCAATGCGCGTCACGTAGCGGGCGCTCTCGCAACCTTCCTCACCCGTCCACTCTGCAATCTATTGTACAGGAATCACTTTCATCCATCCACCTTTTTCCCCCTCAAATATATGTAATTCTTTACTCGATCTCTCTGTTCGACATGCAGCATCATGCGACGTCCAGCGCACGACGATGCGCTCATCACTCGCTTGCCATCTGGACCGCCCTGTCGAAAATGTCTCTCGCCGCGTCGCTCTCCAAGGGCGCAAGCTCATTCAAGACCAAGCTCGTAATCGTCTCGTTGCTAGCTGCGAGCTGCTTGGCAAACTGAGAGGAGAGGTGTCCGGGGGGCGTACAGCGTATCGAGATCAGCTCAGGTTTCGCAACGTCTTGCAAAAGAAGCGCACACACTTGATGGCGCGCTAAGCTGACTCACCAATCGTGCGAAATCTCGGTACCAAGCGCGAACCCACCAAGCAAGCCAGGCTTCTTGGCTCGTGTGCTCATCCAGCATTGGTCCAGCGCTGCTCAAATCGCCTTGACTCGCCTTCAACAGCATCGCAAAGCCTCGCGTGGTCCCCAGCATCACCTTTCTCTGTTCCGCCTGGATAGCTTCGAGCGCCACCTTGGCCTCGGCGCTCGTCCCTTGCGCCTTTTTGGCAGGCGGCGGCGCCGATGGCGTCTTCATCGGCGAAGCAGCAACAGGCGGACGGGGTGGAAGACTGGCACCCGGAAAGAGCGGCAGTTTCGGCTCAGGCGCAGGCGCAGGCGCAGGCTCTTGTTCAGCTTTGGCCCGCTCTTCGTCCCCAGCAACCTGAGCAGCAGCTCTTTGTTCCTCTTCCGCCGCTTCTTCCCTTTCCAGCGCCTCCAGACGCTTTCGAACCTGATCCACACGCCCATTGACCTTCTCTACCGTCAATCTGACAATGTCCCACCAGCTCGCATTGCTCCAATCACGAGGAATCTTTGCAGCTGAATCGACACGAGAAAAAGAGCCTTCGACGCCATCACCGCTACCCATGACCACCAGGTCTGGGAAGCGGATGCCGGATGGTTGAAAGACAAAGTCGATGATGTCCGTCGGTTCGACGATGCGATATTGCAGCAACTTGTCAAACACGATCTGCACCCATTGAGGAGAACGGGCCCAGAAGCGTACTACGCTTGCCAGGATAGCTTTGCGCAGCTCTGGCGTGGATGACAACTGTCGCAGCAAGGCGTGATACCTGCGCCAATCACCATGCAAGGAAAGTGTCAACGCAAAAGGCTTGATAATAAAACCGACGCAGCTCGACCTACCTCTCTACAACGTTGAGGAAATGAGAAAAGGAACGACTTCCGACGCTCAGGATGGCTTGGAAGATGATGTCCCGTACCAAAATATCTGCTTCTCTCTCATCTCTGACCTTGCCATCGTTTGCTGCCTCGGCCGCATCCTCGTACATCGCATCGTCTTGCTGGTCAGGCACGATTTGCGTTTTGAGAGCGTCCATGTTCGCCATGATCACTTGTGCAGTAGCGCGAGCCCTAAAGGATTGAATGAGCGCGAGGGCTGCTTCCCGATGAGGATGACCTGAGCCACAAAAAAAGGGAGAGCGATGTTAGATAGTGCGAGAAGATGGGTGCTTGCTTAGACCCGAAGCGGCTTGCTTACCTTCCGCTGCGTATGTAAACGTTGGCGTGGGCTCTTGCGCAGGCAAGACACCCTCGGCGATCTCCGGTGGCAGGGTGCCCTTGACACGCTCCCAGTACGCCAATCGGACTTCCAGCTCCACCACCCGCCTAGCAAATGCTTTGCGAGGGTGGGCCGATGGCAGACTCATGTCAGGGATCCTGCGGGGGACACGTTTCGTGGCGCGATGAAGCGTCAGAAAAAGGCACCGCCGCCTGAGCAGATCTCGGATCTGGAAGCGCGCGGCAGCTCTCACCACTCTTTCCAAGCCCATTGAAAAGCAAAGTTGGACAGGTGGACGCTGAACCAATCTCCAAAACGGCGAATGACTTCGCCGTCCGCTCGACCCGTACGCATCGCGCCATACACCCTGCGCACACTCTTGCCGATCGCCGGCGCCACGGTCTGCGGGCTCAGCGTCACTATCTCGCGCAGCAAGCAGCTGTAGAACAGCCCCGTATGAGGTGGAGTTGGCAGCTGCAACGCTATCGACAAGACAGTCTGTGGAAAGACGCAACTAGCAGTCAGCGCATGACAGCTAGGTCTGCGTCTGCAGGCTGCTGCTTACCTCTACGAGCGTATCATCCAAGGACCAGCCGCCTCGCACATCTCCATCGACGATTTGCCATTCGTCCTCTACATCTCCACACAAGCCCAGTGTAGGCTCCACGCTTTTACCGACAAAGGTGCCAACTCTGCACCAGCGCGCAAAGTCAAAGAGGATGCGTGCGCACTCTTTGCGATTCACCTCGTACAGGTCGACAACATCCGCAAGCAACGATCTCAGCACCAAGCCAGAAGGAGATGTAGATGACGGGACGCTCTACAAAGAAAAAAAAAGGAGATGGGAGCGAAGAGACGAGTCAACGATCCCATCCAAGCCGAGTCAATGCCGTTCGCACAGAGCTGCACTCACCTCGGCGAACCATCGGGCAGAACGTGAAAGTCGAGGCGGGCCAGCACCCGCACGTTGCTTTTCCTCTTCTCCCTTTGTCGTGGCGGCTGCGCGCTTCTGTTGCGCTACCATTCGTCTTTTCGAAGCATGCTTGAGATGACTTGCGCCGTTGGTAGCTGCGGCAAGAGAAGCGCTGGTGAACGTCACACCACCCGCATCCTCTTCTTCGTCTGGCGGCACCAGAATAAAGGGCAGCTCAATGTCTGCCTCGCGCGACGCTACGGCGGCGTGCAGTGCTGGTGGTAAGAGTTCCAGGGGCACCGGCAAGAAGGCTGGTCGCTGCCATCCGCCTGCACGCAAGTTCTCCAGGGCCGTCACGGCACTCTCGAAGGATTCCTCACGGAGCGAAGAATCCTCCTCTGCCGAGCCGGCGTACCTCAGCCAGGGAGAGATGAGCTCAACTTCGACTTTTCTTGATCGTCCGTACGTTCCAATACGATCAGCCAGCGCTTCTACAGCGCCATCCCCTGCTTCTCCCGCCAGTGCATCTTGCCCAGCCCAGCAGAGCGCCTCGATGACGCAGATTGCAGCACGATCACCTCGAGCAGCCGACACTCCAGGCTCATCCAGCACGGAGGCGAAAGAGCCCAACAGGTCCCGGAACGACTGTGCACTGACGACTCTCAGATTTAACAGGCAAGCAAAGAGGTGAAGCTAAAAAAAAGTGCAATGTGCTCTCTACGCGTCAACGCTTCGCAGCGCTGCGGGGGGTCTCGAGATCAAAACTCACACTCAGCCTCACGTTCCGCCACATGCGAGAGTCCAGCCAGAGCTGAAATGCTTTGATCAGGTCGGTGAGGATAAGGGGACCCATGGTCTCGTACGTCTTTTCTCGCGCTTCCAGCTCCTCGGCCACAGACCTCTTTCTTTTGCTTTCAGATGTCTCATCCTTTGCCGTCTGTTCACCGTCATGCCCTTTCTCTTCTTGACCTTGGCCAAGGCTATACAGATCTGCCTCTGCGCTATCGTCTGGATCCGCGCTACTGTTTGCTTGGGCGTTGACTGCCGCACCTGTGGCAGCCGCGACAGTCGCATCAGCGTCTTCTTTCTTGTTAGCAGCATCTTTGGACTTTGTGGGAGTAGCTGGTGCCAGCAACATGTATCCGAGCAGCGCTGCGTGAAGTGGAAGTTTGTGTGGCTGTTCCGTGATCCTGCGCATGATCACACAACCATCTCCAATCAGTCGCAACATCGAACCGACGCCTATTAGCCCATTGTCGTGCTCACATTACTCTCCAAGCAGCTTTGACCTCTTCGCGGTCTTTCCAAAGACCCTCGATCCACTTTGCGAACGAGTGCATCTCGCTCTGCGCATTGAACGCTTCTTCTTGCTTTGCCTGCTGCTGCGCTGCACCGCCTTGACCTATCGCCGCGTCCGTTCCAGCTCCATGATGCGGATCACCCCATCTAAAGAGCGTCGAGCGCAAGGATTTGATCTTTGCCGCTATACGATCCGCTTCTTGTTCGGCTTTGGAGGTATGCGATCCGCCCCCACCGCCACCGCCACCGCCACCGCATTGGGAGTGCCTGCCACCGCCGCCTCCTCCGCCCGAGTAGCGTCCTCCGGATCGACGAGGACCGCGCCCTGCTGCGTGACCGGCTGCTGCACCTGCCCCTCCATAGTAGGCCTGCGGCTGAGCGCCTCCGTACCCGCCTCCACCATGTCCACCTCGAGCAGGGCTTCCATATGCTCCATAGCCTCCGCGATGAGGTGAATTGTACGCCATGGCAGCGCTGCGATAAGTGGAAAACCAGACGTGCTCAGTGCTGCAACAGGACGGGGGGCACGTTGACGTTGGTGGCATACACGGTAGGGAGACTCTTTTTGCAAGTGGATGAAATCCGAATTCGCACACGCACACGCTCGCGCTCGCGCCTCGTTCCTGTGCCAAGTCTGAAGTCGCTGTTGCGGAGGTGAAAGAGGGTGAATCAGGGATGAGAGTGAAGAG